TCTACCTGTTGGAGAGGATGGGCTTTCGTGAGAGATGGAGGAAATGGATTGTTTCATGTGTTTCCACTGTCAGATTTTCGGTGTTGGTGAATGGGTCTCCTGCGGGGTTTTTTGGCAGTTCTCGCGGTCTGAGGCAGGGGGACCCTCTCTCCCCGTTCCTTTTTATTATTGTTATGGAGGCTCTTAGTTGGTTGATGAGAAGGGCGGTGGACTTGGGTTTTATCAGGGGCTTTAAGATCAGCCCTGATTCCGTTCAGCAGATGGAGTTTTCTCACTTGCTCTTTGCGGATGACACTACTGTTTTTTGCGAGGCAGAGGTGTCCCAGTTAAGGTATATGAGATGTGTCTTGGTTTGCTTTCAGGCTGTCTCTGGTTTGAAAGTCAATGTGGGCAAGAGTGTGCTTGTCCTTGTGGGGCAGGTTCAAGAGGTGGACACTCTGGCTGCTGTTTTAGGGTGTGGGACGCAACGTTTCCCTATCTCGTATTTGGGTTTGCCGTTAGGGGACTTGGCCAGGAGGGTGGGAAGTTGGGACCCGGTGATTGAGAGGGTCGAGAGAAGATTAGCTGGTTGGAAAAAGCAATATCTCTCCAAGGGTGGTAAAGTTACGTTAGTGAAAAGTATCTTGTTAAGCCTCCTAACGTATTTTCTTTCGCTCTTTCGGGTTCCAGCCTCGGTTGTTGGACGTCTTGAGATGCTTCAACGAAACTTTGGGGGGGTTGTGGAGGGGAGTTTAAGTATCATCTTGTCAGATGGGAGCAGGTTTGTAGGCCATTTCAGTTGGGCGGGCTTGGGATTAGGAGATTGACCCCCTTTAACAGTGCTCTCCTCGGTAAGTGGCTTTGGAGATTCGGCAGTGAAAGGCATAGATTATAGAGAAGGGTTATTTCTTGTCGCTTTGGGGAGGAGAGAGGGGGGTGGTCAGCTAGGCTAGTCAGGTCTGCTAGTGGAGTAGGGGTGTGGAGGGCCATTAGAAAAGGATGGGACGAGTTTTTCAAACATGTTAGATTCAAAGTTTGGGATGGAAGGTTTGTCCGGTTTTGGGAGGATCCCTAGTGCGAGGATAGGCCTTTGGCTCTTTTGTTTCTAAGGCTGTTCAGGATTGCTGTTGACAAATATACTATGGTTGCTAACTGCTATCGCCTTAATAGCGGGAGGTTATCTTGGGATGTGCGATTCTGGTGATCTTTTCAGGATTGGGAGTTAGATGATGTCACTGGCTTGTTGGCTCTCTTGTACAGACAGGAGGTGGAGGGCACTAGTGTTGACTCCCTGATTTGGGTGCCTTCTTCTAAGGGGATGTTCTAGGTCCGGTCTTTTTTTGTGTGCCTCTCTGGTTTTCATGGCGTTTCCTTCCTGTGGAAGACGGTGTGGTTGTCCAAGGCGCCTTTTAGGGTGGCCTTTTCTGTGTGAACTGTAGCTTGGAGTAAGATTTTGACTTTAGATAACTTGAGGAAGCGAAGACATATTGTTGTTAATTGGTGTTGTCTTTGTAAGTTGAATGGGGAGTCAGTGGATCACCTGCTGCTGCATTGTCCTGTGGCTCATGATTCTTGGAGTCTCATTTTTGATCTGTTTGGTATTCATTGGGTCATGCCTCGGACATCTCGGGAATTGATGGATATTTGGAGGGGCCAATGGGTGGGGGCTCAGGCGAGAGTCTTCTGGAGGGTAACCCTTTTTTGTGTTTGGTGGAGCATTTGGAAAGTGCGGAATAGAAGATCTTTTGATGGGAAGGAGTCCTCCATTAGGGTGTTGAAATTTTCTATTATTTATACTCTTTTTTGTTGGGGTTGGGGGAGAGATTTTTCCTCGATTGAGGATATTGTGGACCTTTTGGGCTCCTTGAGATCATAGGTTCAGTTTTTATTTGTATAGCTTGGGACGCGCTCCCCTTTTGAACACCTTCTAATACATTTTACTTAAAAAAAAAAAAAAAAGGTCTCCTTTCAAATCTCTCAACAATCGGATCCCAAACAGAAATTCTCCTCGACGAGGCTCCCAAAGGGAGTCCCAAGTAGTAGATCGGAAAAGAGCCACCACCACATCCCATATCAACCAAAACTTAAATATCTTCCACCACCCCAACTGGAACTATCTCACTTTTTTCAATTTTATCTTCAAACCAGAAACAACTTGGAAACATGTCAACACACACCTTAAATTCCTCAGCTGATGAAGAGTAGCATCACAAAAGACAATGGTATCATCCGCAAACAACAGATGGGAAATGACTAACTGGTTAAGGGCTCTACCCACTGAGAATCCCTGAATAAACCCAAGGTCCCCCGCCTTGCCCATTAAACAACTAAAAGCCTCCATAACAATAACAAACAAGAATGGGGAGAGAGGGTCCCCTTGCCTCAATCCTCGAGAACTAGCAAAGATATTTGCGGAAAAGAAGAAAAAAGATGAGGAATAATCTGTATATTAACCTTTTAGAGGATGGGATACAACCTATTTATAACACGCTCTTAAACAGCCAGCTATACAAAGTCAATGACAACTATACAATCCTGAATTAATTTCTAGAGATCCTACCTACCACAGAAAATAAGGAAACTAATTAACTAATTTAAAATACAAACAAATAGTCAATACATGGTAACTAAAGCTCAACAATACAGCTGTAATGCCAATTAATGAATAATTCTGCTGTAATTCTAACACTCCCCCTCAAGGCTGGTGAGTAGATGTCAACCATTCCCAGCTTGGTTCTTAAATCTTCAAAGAGTACCGTTGTAACTCCTTTTGTGAGTATATCAGCCAATTGTTGATGAGTTGTTACGAACGGAGTAGTAATCTGTCCCCTTTCAATTTTCTCTTTGATGAAGTGTCTGTCCACTTCGACATGCTTAGTGCGGTCATGTTGAACGGGGTTGTGAGCTATACTGATTGTAGCTTTATTATCACAAAACACTTTCATAGGAGATGTATATTCTAGTTTAAGTTCTTTTAACAACTTATGTATCCATAAAAATCTCACAAATTCCCAGAGCCATAGCTCTGTATTCTGCTTCTGCACTGGACCTGGCAACTACATTTTGCTTCTTGCGCCTCCAAGTAACCAGATTACCTCATACGAAAGTACAATAACCTGTTGTAGATCTCCTATCTGTGATTGAACCAGCCCAATCGGCATTTGTGTAAACTTCCACTAGTAGATGTTCAGATTTTTTAAATAGAAGTCCTCTGCCTGGTGTAGCCTTTAGATACCTCAGAATTCTTTGAACAACTTCTATATGACACTCCAAGGGAGAGTGCATAAATTGACTTACAACCCCTACAACATAGGCAATGTCTGGTTTTGTGTGGGATGGATAAATCAGTTTCCCGACGAGCCTTTGATATCTCCCCTTGTCAATTGGATTTTCTTCACTGTTAAGTCCCCAATCTATGAGTCGGATCAATTGGAGTCGTTGCTGGTTTACTTCCTAAAGATCCCATTTCCTTAAGCAAGTCAAGAATGCATTTTCTCTGAGAATCAAACATATTATCCTTTGACCTTGCTACTTTCATACCTAGGAAATATTTGAGATTTCTTAAGTCCTTAATTTCAAATTCTTTTGCAAGTTGAGTCTTCATATCTTTAATTTCTTCAAAGTTGTCCCCTGTCACAATAATATCATCAACGTAGACAATGAGAATTGTAGTCTTTTGATGAGGAGAATGCTTGAAGAATAACGTATGATCTCCTTGACTCTGTAAGAAGCCACACTCTATGAGAAACTTGGAGAATCTTTCGAACCAAGCTCTAGGAGACTGCTTTAGCCCATATAAAGATTTTTTCAACCTGCAAACCTTCCCATCATTTGAATCTCCGAAACCAGGAGGTAAATCCATATAAACCTCCTCTTCTAGATTACCACGACGAAATGCATTTTTTACATCAAATTGATGTAAAGGCCAATCTAAGTTGATAGCAAGAGAAAACAAAATTCTTACTAAGTTCATTTTCGCAATAGGGGCAAATGTTTCTTGATAGTCTAAACCATAGGTTTGAGTGAACCCTTTGGCAATGAGTCTCGCCTTGTATCTTTCTACTGACCCATCTGATTTATACTTCACCGTGAAAACCCACTTGCATCCCACATGCTTCTTCCCTTTAGGTAGATTTACAATTTTCCAAGTTTCATTTTACTGTAGAGCTTTTATTTCCTCAAGAATTGATCCTCTCCACTTCAGGTCTTTTAGAGATTCAGAAATATTAGCAGGAATATTTTCTGTAGAAATTTGAGAAATAAAAGCCTAAAAGGAGGGCTTAATCGATGATAAGATAAAAAATTGGAAATTGGATGTTTGGTGGTACATGACCTCACCCCCTTTCGGATAGCTATGGGAATATCTAAATCTGTATCAACCTGTGGCAATGAAGGATTAGGTGAACTACCTGACCGAGGACTCACCATTTACTGTACCTAATAATTGCATTGTCAATAGGCCCAAAAGAAATGAAAAATGTATGCATAAATAATGTGCTCCTTTCTAACCATCATTTACACGTTGTATGAGCAGCCACATCTGTGGAGGACCATTGTGGTTGTGACATCCCCTTTACGCGCCTAGGAAGTTGAGGGCATGCACCCAGCTAATTTAGAATTTTAGAATATAATGTTTTTGGTAAGTATAGATTATTCAAATATTTTGGACATGTTGGTGTGACACATTATTTTAATATAGAAAAAGAATCAAACTTGTAAAGAAATATTCATGGTGATAATTATATAATATATAGAATAATTTGTATATCATCAATCATAATATTGTTTTCCATACATTTTGGACATATTGCCATACCAGATTCTATCAATTCCCTACTTTTATAAATTTGCCTTGGTAATATTTCTCGATTGTATCAGTGTCATGTTTAGTGTCCTCATCTGTACATTTGGTCATTTGTTTAGAAGTTAATTTAAGTTAAGAGCACTTTCATCCAATTTTTGCTTTAAGAAATTAATTCTCAATTTTGCTTTGGTTCAACAATTGATACATTTATTTTCAGGTTCTAGTTTTAAATTCAATCTCTGTTCTTATCACACATGCTGGTGAAGTCTTTCCAAATGCAAACAAGTTGGTGCATTTTTTCCAGAAGGTATTGTTATGATATTTATTTTTTATATCTTGATATGAATTAATTGCTAATTAATACTCAATTTCATGCTATGAAGATTGACCTTAACTCAGTGGAGATATATGATATTAGGTTGGTATTTAGGCCCTAGTTTGTCCAGTGATTATTTGTGAATCATTAACATTATTCAGGAGTTGTTTATGGGTATACCGTTTCACAACGACTTGTAATGATTTGCTAGATTGGACCCTTTTTTACTAGATAATACTATAGAGGAGGCTTTAAAACTTGAAACTTATTCAAGGAGGTGTTGATGGAATGCTTTTGGTCTAATATAAATAACAGTCGGAGTGAGAAAGAGGATCAACTAAGATTGGTGGATAAGAATCTATTAAGATGTTTTATATTATTGTTTTTGAATTGTGTATAAAGCTGTTGAATTACAACATGATTTAATATATATATATATATTTAGGATAAATACCCCGACCTCCCCTGAGGTTCAGTTAAATTATCCAGGACTGAAACATTTTGAAAAATTGTGACCAACCTCCCTTAAGGTTTTGCATAATTACTTTAATCACCCGTCGTTAATAGACCATTAAGTCAGTCGTTTGATAAATTCGATTTTTTTTCGAAAATGCCTTTATTTGAAGCAAAATGACGCAGATGACCCTATTGATTTCATAGATGACCATTTTAACCATCCTCAATCCTCTCTCTCTAACCCAAACAATCCCTCATCCACCTCATCTGCATATACCTAATCAAAACAGGTAGACGACAGTCACAGTGAGAAGTTCTCAATGAACTCTTTTTATAGGTTGTGTATCATCCAAACTCTACAGGAAAGATCTCAAGTAAGACATTATCTTTGGCAATGGAGACTACAGACAAACATGTCTCTCTCATGGAAGATCTACAAGGGGGGGTAATGGCCTTTCCGTTTCAGGCGAAGAAATGCCCTAAATAGGGGTGCGTTTAGTAACATTTCCGTTTTATGTTTTTGCAGTCCCAAAGAAACAGAAACATAATTTTGTTTTTCGAAGTAAAAACAAAAAGCAAAAATAACGTTTAGTAACTTTTGCTGTTGCCACAATTTTAATAACAAAAAACAAAAAGCAATGTTTAGTAAAACATTTGTCACAAAAATTTTTTTTTTTGGAAATTTTTTTAATTTATTTTTTCATCCATTTATCAAAATCTGACTTTCAATCACAATAAAAGACATAATCTAAAAAGGAATATATATATATATATATATATATATATATACAGGGCAAGATAAGCGTACAATTGTATAATGTATATATATAGAATATAAAAATAGATTTTATATATACATATATATTAACAAAAAATCTGAAAACAAACCACAACCAATACATGTATAACAAATAGAAAGAGGAAAAAAAAAAAAATACAGTACAGTTGTATAATGTATATATATAGAATATAAAAATAGATTAGGTATAATGTATATATATAGAATATAAAAGTACTAATGGAGTAATGTCAGTGGTTGTGTATTAATGGAAGAGTAATGTCAGTTGTTGCGTAAAAAACGAGGGAAACAGGAGTGAAAACGTTTCCTCTGCTACAGTGAAAAAACACAGGAAACATCATTTTGATGTTTTCGCTTTCTTTCATAAAAATGAGAAATGTTTTTCATTAAGAGGAAACAAAAACAAATTACTAAACATGATTTTTGTGTTTGTTTCTCCTTTTTAAGGATTGACAACAGAAAACAAAAAATGTTTTGAGTTACTAAACACACCCTAGGGCTTCGAGATATCAACTTGAGAATCCCATTGAAGTTCTTGAGCGAGATGTGTGTACCCATTGCAGTTTTTGAATCAGATGGATGTACCCATTGAAGTTCCTGGCTAGATCGGTGGTTTCCCGAGGAAGGTGAAGAGATTTGAAGTTATAGATGTAGTAGTATTTCAGGCCCATTATAACGTAGTATTGTGGATTCAAAATTTGAAGAGATTTGAAGATATAGATGAGTAGATCTGAGGATATTATAAATTAGTATTTCATCAAAGTCTCTTAACTGATACTGATACGGAGGTTGCACTTCCACCTTGGAGTAGTACTTGAGGCCCCAAACGCTCATCCACCTCTTCTATATAGGGTAAGAGAGATTTGGGTTGATTGCTGTGAATTGGGCTTTATAAACACGAGAGAGAGAGAGAAAGAGACCATGGTGGTGGTATTAAGAGAGAATGAGATAGAGTTGGGGAAGTGGTGGTGAAGGGACAGAAGCGGCGCTGCCATAAGCTAGGGATGGTGGCAGTGAGCTAGGGGAGTAGTGGCGGATGGTATCTATATAAGTGAACCTATGTGTATGTGTATATATAAAGTAATATACCAATATGTAATATATTGTTACGGAAATGCAATGAACCAAAAACAAATCACGAAACACGACAAAAAAATAAACATGCCATACACAAAGAACACAAAAAATTTATGCTCTGTTTGGTTGAAGGGATGGAAAAATGGATAGAAGAGATAGGGGGTAGGGATAGATGAGGAATTTGTCTCCCCCATTTTTTGTTTGGTTGAATGGAATTGATAGTAGAAAAGAAGTATGTGGTGATACTTTTTTTTGTTTGGTTGGAAGGAAGGGAAATAGAGTTTTTATGTTTTTTACCAATATACCCTCACTGTATAAAATAATAAAAGGTAGATATTCATTTGAATTTTTTTGAAAAGGTTAAAATTGTAAATTGTATATTTGTAGGTAGTTATTCACTCTCTCTCCTCCCTTCCTCCCAAAATTGGGCAGGTAGAAAAACATGAAGAAAGGAGGGATGCTTCATCCCTCCTAGCTTCCTCCCCTTCCCTCCAACCAAACACGAAAAGCTACATCCATCCCTCCTCAATCCTTCCCTCCAACCAAACATAGCATTAGTATGGTTTGATACAAGCATCCAAGGTGAAGATTTGGTAAAAGGTTTTACTATGCAAAAGTTAGGAGATTACAAGTTTCAGCCCCCAAGGCCTAGCTCTCGCGCTCTCAATTTCCCATTCCGAACCCTAAATGACCTTATATATCGGGCTACAAGAGTATTAAACATGGTCCGTGACTCGCAAGCAAAAATCGGTTCATTGGGTCATCAGGTGTTGCAACCTGGAACCAAATTCGGGCCACAACATCACACATATGTATAGGAATTTATATTTAGTTTTTAATTTTTTGTTTGTGGGCATTTTTGTAACTTGATTTTCAAAGTTAATGGTGTTAAAATATTTGCTCTGAGTGATGTCACCGAAAGTTGCATCCGAGGATAATTTAACTAAACCTCAGGGAGGTTAGGGTAATTTACCATAATTTATTCACTTTTTTTTTTTTGTTTGACCCAGAGAAGTCTAGTGGAAGGGTTTGAATATAGTGCTGCAAACGAGTCGAGCCGAGTAGGGCTCGGCTCGGGCTCGGCTCGATCATATAGCAATGGTGTCTGAGCTTGACTCGAGCTTTTACGTGAGTGTCTGAGCTCGGCTCGACCATGATTGATAAATTCCGAGCTCTGGTCTTTATTTCAATATTCACTTCCGATTCTGCCATCCAAATGGAGAATTGGGGAGGTGCGATCTCATGGGAAATATGACAGGTATAGAGAGAGGGTTAACCATGTATTTCGGGTGTGATGGAGTGTGTCATCGTCGCCGGCGTTGAATAGCAGGTTGCTGCAGTGTTCTGGCCAGAGCGCTGCTTCCATAGAGGTGGCGATTAGGATAAGGTTGGGGATCGATATGGTGGTGAGAAATGGATATGTGTGAGATAACGATGCTTAGGGTTTATATGATGGGCTTGGAAATATGGGCTTGGGCTGTTTTAATTTTAAAAGGGCTCATGTTATGTTTATATGCATTGGATTGGGTTGGGTTGGATTGGGCTCGAAAAATAGTGGGCCTAGTAGGCTATTATATACATGTATATACATACATATATATTCATATTAACATGCTCAAAAATGAGCCCATTAACGAGCTTGTTCACAAACATGTTCGCGAACAAATGAGCCGAGTTAGAGTGTGTTTGAGCTCGGCTCGCTTATTAAATAAACGAACGCGAGCCGAGCATTTAGCAAACCGAGCTCGAGCTATTCGCTAACAACTCTTTTTGTTTGCAGCCCTATTTGGATATTAACATTGACTTGAGGTACAAACTTGAATGTGTTTAGATACCAACTAATGTAGGATTAGAAGGAAAGCAAGTGATGAGAAGATAGAAGTTGAGATGAAGCTAGATGAAGGAGATGAGAAGACGTATTAAAAAGATAGGTTGGATGAGACTGAAAAGTTGGGAAGAGTAGGAATGATGAATGAGACATAAATAATTCTCAAATCACTATGTTATTCCAATAATCAAAGCTAAATTGTGGGATTACATATAGGCCTTTATATAGGCATAATTAAGCAAATCCCTAATAAACCCTAAAATATGAAAATACCAAAATTGCAGAAAAAATATAAAAAGAAGAAAAATTAAAGAATTGTGTAAAGGCTTGAATGAGATTATCACTCATTCACAGCTAGTATTTATAGATAAAAAGAGCACATGCTCGTATTACAAGAAAGGAAATTAAATCAAATCACAACATATTGTATGGCATATTCTATAGTAAATCAAATATCTGCTAATATGGTAAGTAATTCCATAAATCGTGGCTATCATATTTGCTAACACTCCCTCTCAAGTTGGTGCGTGGATATCTGAAACGCCTAACTTGGACAATGCATTCTGAAACCCAATCTTGCCGATGCCCTTTGTAAGAGTGTCTGAGTGCTTGTGGCAAATGTAGTGCAAATCTGACTAGCGATGATTTTCTCTCAGATGAAATGCCGATAAACAAATAAAAAATGTCTCCTCAGACCGTAATCAACCAACAATGTCTCCTTAGACAGTAAACAACCAACAATGTCTCTTTAGACCATTTCCCTTCATATACATGTTTAAAACATGTAGATGGAAGAATCAACAATGTCTCCTCAGACCATTCCCCTTTGTT